AGCTTCTCCCAAACACAAGGTTTTCCATCATCAACAATAAGTAACTCTTCCCCCTTATCCAAACTACTAGTGGGTCATTTATCAAAGACGGTGTTGGGTTTGTCACTATCACATATTAAGGGGCTGTTCTCCATCTCTTTACTTTCCTTCTTGCTCATCCTGCCCACTTGCATTTCTGGGCCCGGGCTGAGTTCTCACCATCTCCTTTTCCATCTTCTTGCCCCCATATCCTCTATTTCCTAGCAATCGATTTTCCAGCTCCTTCACACTGGACCAGCTTATCCCAGGTTGTCTTTTCTTTGTGAACCCACTGGACCATGTGTCAAGGTTTCCCAATAGAAGGATACTAACTAAGACAGGGTGAAGTCAGAAGACATGCTCACTCGCCAGTCAGCAGTGAGAAGTGTTTGGGACTTGAGTGGCTCCTGGCAAAGGGACAGAGAGCAGGGAGAATGGTGCAACTTTTCTGGGAAGCACTTCAGTAACATAAATGAAGACTCTAAAACATTTTTATTGTATGACCTCATCTTCCTTCGCTTATCTTGAAGACATCAGAAGAGTTTCAAACAAAGTATGGGTGAAAAGGCAATCTAGACAGAGGAAAAAGGGCTGTGTGAGTTCTGATGTTTAAGTAACAGAGAACAGCAAATTGGCTTTAATAATAAGCACATATGCAAAGAAACCTGGAGGTACAATGGCTTATAGGGTTGGTAGATTTAGCAACTCAAAAATGTAGTCTATATTCCAAAAAGTTCAACAGGAAGGAACACTTCCTAACTCTTTCTATGAAGCCAGCATTACCCTAATCCCAAAACCAGATAGACACTACAAAGAAATAGAATTACAGACCAATATCTCTGATGAGTATAGATGCTAAAATTCTCAATCAAAGGACATGTATGCATGCATATAAGCATAACCAATGGACACCAGTGGGTGAGGGCATGTGTTGGGAGGTGGGGGTAGCTGGAAAGAGGTCAATGGGGGGAAAAGAAGACATAGGTAATAATACTATGTGTAATACTTTAAACAATAAACAATTTTTAAAAATGTGGTCTAACAAAGGTTTTTTCCATCTCTCTGCTCTTCCTTCTCCAACAATAGTCACATGCTGGGTTTGGCTCCCCTAGTGGCCAACAGCACCAAACTGCAATTAGCTCTCTCCAAATGGAGACAGAAAAAGTCTTATTTCCAGCAAACCTCTCATTAGCCAAAACTGAGTCACATGCCAATTCAAAATTAATCACTTACTAGCTGGGAAGCAAAGGATGGTAGTAGAAAAGGTAGTTACCCTTAAACCAATAGTCCTACCGCTTCCCACCGAGATCAATTCCCTGAGTACACCGCTTTAATTCTGTAGGGAAGGGGCAATGTTTGGGAGTCAATCATCTCATCCACCCCCAAAATCCGTTGGTAACTTCCCTCTGGCTCTGATCATGAAGGCAGTTGTATTAGGACAACTTTCACCTGTGATCTAGGGAAAATGGAATGAATTTATGATGTCTTCATTTTAGAGATGCTATGATTTGGGTCTATTCTAAAACATGATGATTTTGGCTGCTCCTCCCTTCTAAGAAATTTTCCACTGCTGAACATTTCCAGCATGTTTTAAAATCCCTACATACAATCACAGCCCACCTAGCTGTTCTTTGCTAGATAAACAAAAGTTTTCCTCAATGATTTTGCTCTCCTTAATCACATGCAATTTTTAAACTAGCTGTTACTGACAGTCCTTTCCTCCTGTTTACTGGCAATGTGCTTTGGTCAACCCCACATCCAATTAGAGGAACTTGGAAAAAGGAAATCCTAAAGGGAAATGCCATATGCCTTATAATTTTACTTTCAATAAGTAACCCTCAAAGATGGCAACTTGGCAGGGAGAGCACAGGGCCCTCTCCCTGGAAGGCCCATCACTTGGGTCCATATCAGATTGTTGACCTGAAATCGGCATTTGTGTGCTGAGGATACACACACATTCCAGGGACAACATCCTCAGCATCAAAGGTGTATGTTTTCTTTCCCTTTATCCCTTTCCTGCTTCTCTCCAACTGTTCAGAGGTATGTAGGTCTCTGGGGAATATCTTCAGCACACACCGACCCACAGCAATGTGGGCAGTTCCTAGAACTGCCCACACACCCCCTCCACTTCGATCTTCTTTCCACCAGAACATCTGAGGTGCCATGGTTTGGGGAAGGCCTTAGTGAAAAAGCTCCTGGAACTCTGTCAGCTTTCTCTGACAAGAAAGCTCTTTCCTTCTGCCCTATAGGTCACCTTCCTATTTGTAAAGTATGTAGAAGGTTGAAAGAAGGTCCAAGAAAATTCCAGAGGAATTCCTACAGTCACGTAGTCACAAGAGTGGCGAGGCTGAAGGTATAGTCCAGTGAGCTTCTACTCCAACCACAGGGTTAGGGCAAAGGAGATGATCCTTTTACAAAAAGACGGGTGTATTCTATTTTTGTGAGCCCTCAGCTGACCTGCATAACATTAGCAGGTGTGCCAAAGGAGCAGGGGGCCGTAAGCTGGCCGCTCCTCCAAAAACCGTTCCTAACAAAGGACCCAGCATCATGATAACTAGTAGCAAGTGACCCAAAAAAATTACCTTTCAAGGAGCTAACAGGATAGGAAGAAGAAAGGGGAGGGGCATGCTAACTCTGGAATCTTCAGATCTGTTCGGATGAGTCATTACCTATGACTTCCACAGCAGGCATCTGATTTGACTAATCGTCTGATAGAGACTTTTATTTCTGTCCCTCAACATGTGAAACCTCTCTGACCATGGGGTTTAGTTATTACTTAAGCAACAAACAAACGTGTGTCTTAGAAACATACTTGTCATCTTCTAGAAACACTTGATGTCTGTTGAGCAACTAGAAAGCACTCACTCGGTAACACACACATGCACCTTGTCACACAACACTCCCACACGCAAAAAGTGAAATTGCTGCGTGATGAATGTAAACTCGTGGGTGTTTCCAGCAATCAGAGTCCTGCCAGGTCTGTGTGCTGAGTCGGGAGGTGAACCCCGGGGCTTTCCCAGCTTGTGCCCTGTGTCTCAGGCCAGGGGACCACAGCAGGGAAGTGTGGCTGCCGGACACCCCGGCCCAGAGAGATGAATGGAATTCCAGGCAGCTGCAGTCATGCTGGCTTGGGACGGTGGCTCAGAGACCAGACTTCCAATGACAGACGCTTTATGAGGTAGCGCTCATGGCAATTGGTGCACCCACAGAAATGTAACCCACACCTCGGTTTCGGGAGCCGAAAAATGAAAAGAACGTTTAGGGGGGTGGGGGGGAAGGAAATAAAATAAAATAATAGGCAGAGGGCAATTTATGACTCTGTGAGTCTGTTCTGTAAATAGTTTAAGACTCTGGAGCCAGATGGTTCTGCAAACCCTCCAACCAGGAGTCACGTTAAGAAGCACGAGTGGACACAAAAAACTGTTTTTCAAGACAATTTCAGTTCTGGCTTGGGGGAGCTGGAGACAAGCTCCTTCACATTCCTGACTAGAAAGAAGTTGCCCTCACAGGTCCCTTGATCGGAATACGTATACCGCCCCCAAGCGGCGAGCCGTGTAAGCGCCGTGGCCAGCGGGAGAAGCCAGGGATCAGGCGGCCAGGCACTGCAGCGTGAATGCGAGCTCTGCCCTCCGCCTTGACAGCCCGCGGCGCGCACCTCCCCTGGGGGGTCAGGACCCGGGCAGGCGGGGGCTGGAGCGCACGGCGCGTGGCTCCCCATCCCTCCAGCATGGGTGGATGAGGGTCACCACGTATGTAAGCTGGAACCTCTTTAACCCCTGGGTCTCTCTTAGTCCCAATGACTCTGTTGTACCCCTTCCCCTCTTTTTTTGCCAGCGGGCCCAGGGAGCCGGGTGTGACTGAGAGCCCCCCGCGGGTCTGGTCGGGGGACAGTCCCCGGTTGGGACACTCGCAGGGAGCGCACCGGCCTGCGTGGCGCAAGAGCCAAAGTGCTCAGCCCGTGCGCCTAGCCGCGTGGGCGGGGAACCTCTTTTCTGAGAAGTTCCAGGGCTCCCCGAGCCCGGCCCCCGCCTCCCCCCGTCACTTTCTAGCTGGAAAGTTGTGCGGCGGGGGGAGGAGAGAGGAACCAGACGGCCCCCCTCCCGCTTCCTGCCCGGCCGCCTCCCATTGGCCCGCCGCGCGCCCAGGAATGTGAGCGCCGCTTTATAAGCGCGGGCTCCGCGGCTCCGGTCACTGCAGCGCAGCGGCCGGCCAGACCCAGACCCAGACCCGCTCCCGGAGCCTCCCGCAGCGGACTCCCCGGAGCCTCCCGCAGCGAACCCCGCAGCCTTCACCCGCCGCCGCCGCCTCCCCGGCCGGCGCTGCGCTCTCCAGGACTCGGCGCCTTCGCTGCCACTCGCCACTTGGAGCCGCTGCGCCCTGAGCACTCAGGTAAGGGGGTCTCCCAGCGCTGCCCTCATCCACCCCGGGCTCCAGCCCCTCAAGAGGCTTCGGACCCCATCCTCTCCCTCCCGCTGCTGGGGGTCTCCTCTGGTGGAAGAGCTTCAGAGCTATATTCTCCAGCTCTAGGTTCACAAACCACTTCTCAGGGTCCCCCGAGATTTTATTCTGTTCTCTAAACCTTTCTATCAGTTCTCTAGAGGAGGAGTTCACATCCCCATGTCCTCCCCGGACCCCCCAGACTACATCTTCTGGTCCTGCTGTTTACTCCTCACCTTCCCAAGGAAACCCCCCAGATTGTTGGCCTTTGCACCACCACCCCCTCACACACACACACACACACACACACACACACACACCCCACTTTAAAACCCCGGTCTCTTGCCTTCATCTCTCACTTTCTTCCTGATGCCCGCTCCAAAGTACATTCTATTCTCCCTCATCCAGCAAATGTGGGGCTAGGGGGTCCCCAGGGACCGGCCCCATGCCCAGCCCCCTGTTTTCCCCCATACACTGCTTTGCCACTTCTCACCCTGGGCTCTGCTTCCCGCTGCAGGCTCCCCGCTGGGCACAGCAGCTCCGCCATGGGGCTCACCTGGGGACTCGGCGTCCTGTTCCTGTTGCATGCGTGTGGCTCCAGCCGCATTCCAGGTGAGTCTGTGGAATACCTTTGATGGGGAGGGAAGCGGAGGGGGTGCCGGTTACCCCAGCTGTGCCTCCCTCCCAGCTCTCCTCTCCCATTTCTCCCTAAGCCCTGACTGAACATCGGGATTCCCTTTCCGTGGTTTCCACACTGTCCCTCTGGCTCCATCCCTCAGAGCCGAGCCCTCCACCCACCCCCCTCACCCCCACCCCGGCCACCGTCTAGAAAGCTCACAGTGTGCCCCGCTCCTTACAGAGTCCAGGGGAGACAACAGCGTGTTTGACGTCTTCGAGCTCACCGGGACCTCCCGCAAGGGCCCTGGGCTCCGGCTGGTGAAGGGTCCTGACCCTTCCAGCCCAGCCTTCCGCATCGAGGATGCCAACCTGATCCCCCCGGTGCCCGACCACAAGTTCCAAGACCTGGTGGACGCCGTGCGTGCGGAGAAGGGCTTCCTCCTGCTGGCCTCCCTGAGGCAGATGAAGAAGACCCGGGGCACGCTGCTGGCCGTGGAGCGGAAGGACCACTCCGGCCAGGTCTTCAGCGTGGTCTCCAACGGCAAAGCCGGCACCCTGGACCTGAGCGTGGCCGTGCAGGGCAAGCAGCAAGTGGTGTCGGTGGAAGAGGCACTCCTGGCCACCGGCCAGTGGAAGAGCATCACCCTGTTCGTGCAGGAGGACCGGGCCCAGCTGTACATCGACTGCGAGAAGATGGAGAGTGCCGAGCTCGATGCCCCCATCCAGAGCATTTTCACCAGGGACCTGGCCAGCATTGCCAGACTCCGCGTCGCCAAAGGGGGTACCAACGACAACTTCCAGGTGAGGCCTCTTCTCTGATTCCTGGCCTCCGGAGCCAGCTTCTCTGTCAGGGGGGCAGTAGCAGGAGAGGCAGGGGTTCCAGGGCGGGAAGTACTGCCTGTGGACTGAAGCAGTGGTGCTTCGGGTTTAGGCAGTTTCAGGGTCCCCTGCTGCCCCCCCACCCTCAGAGTTTCAGGTCCAGTAGATCTGGGCTGGGGCGTGATAATTCGCTTTTCTAAGCAGTGCCAGCTGAGGCTGATGTGGGTGGGGGTCTTCTGGGGACCCCACTTTGAAAGCCACTAAAGGAAATGAGTGATTTTCCTACAATAGCTTAGTTTCTTCTTATACTCTTCTCAAGAATAAAACTTATTTCAAATGCATCCACCCAACTGTAATATTGCTTGAAGTGGATACGTTGTTGGAGCAGAATAAATACCACTTTGCTATTTGATCCCTCATGGGGATGTGGCGGGTCTCAGATAAAAGGTTAAAGTTAGTGGTGATTTGCTGCTGCAGATCCTTTTTCTGGTTAAACTTCTAGCTCTTTGCAACAGCGGCTTTGAAACTCCCACCTTAAACTCTCTGACACGAAGACTGTCATTATATCCTCGACCATAGTTATCAGATTCCACTTCCTGGGGACCCAAGTAGGCGGGTAACTGAATTCTTTGTAAAACACTGGAGACTTGGCAGAAGACACAATTAAGATGTTGGAGTTGTTTGGCAATTTATGTTGCTGTGTTATCTTGACCTAGTGACCTTCAAAGGGAGCTCTTTCAAACCTCTAGACTGTTACTGTGTGCTTTTCCTCCCACGCCCCTCCCGGGCCTCTCTGCAAGTAACGTGTGTGCTCTGCCCACAGGGGGTGCTGCAGAACGTGCGGTTTGTCTTTGGAACCACACCAGAAGACATCCTGAGGAACAAAGGCTGCTCCAGCTGTGAGTGCCCTTCTGTGTTTAGGGTACATGGGGAAATTGGGGGATTCCACTTAAAAAAAAGCTAAGAAACAAACAGTGTTGGTTGTGTGTAAATTACCCTGGATAACATGATAAGAGGTATATAAAAGTGACCTTAGAAGGCTATTACACACACACACACGCACACACATGCACTCACACACATGTACACAAATGCACTCACAAACACACACACACTCTCACACACACTCACATGCACTCACACACACGCACACACATGCACTCACAAACACACACACACTCACACACACTCTCACACACACACACACTCACACACACACACTCACACACTCACACATACTCTCTCACACACACACACACACACACAGCCTCCACCTGCATCCCTCGCCCCAAGTGAAATGTCTTCAGTAGGAACTCCGGTGAAGCACCGTCTGCTCCTTTCCTCATTGTGTGTGCTTGCTCCTTGGCAGCTACCAATGCCATCCTCACCCTGGACAACAACGTGGTGAACGGGTCCAGCCCCGCCATCCGCACCAACTACATTGGCCACAAGACAAAGGACCTGCAGGCCATCTGTGGCATCTCCTGTGACGAGCTGTCCAGCATGATCCTGGAACTGAGGGGCCTGCGCACCATCGTGACCACGCTGCAGGACAACATCCGCAAAGTGGTCAGTGGCCTCCGCGCCCTCCCCCCCCCCGAGCGTGAGCCCCTGCAGGCGTAGCCTTTCATGTATATGATCCTGTACGACTGGACACTGATAACCTTTCTCCCCCTTTCAGACGGAAGAGAACAAAGAGCTGGCCAATGAGCTGAGGCGGCCCCCACTCTGCTACCACAACGGCGTTCAGTACAGGAATAACGATGAGTGGACTGTGGATAGCTGCACCGAGTGCCGCTGTCAGGTAAGGGCTCTTTACAAACTGAAATGCAAATCTATGGCATGTGTTTGAAGCCACGGCCTCTGGGGAAATGCCCAGTCGGCCACACAAGCTCTTTTTATGTTCCGTGGCCTGATTCCAAATGCGTGTGTATCTGTCTGAGATGCAAGTATGACATCTATAATCTTCTTTAAACTCTCATGGAGTTTTCCAAAGTTATACCCCAGGCTCAGTGTCTAAAAGAACAAACCTAAAACATCAGAATAATTGGCCTGCTGTATTTCAGAGACTAAGTGTTGAATGTCAGGTGAATAGCACCAGGTGGAACAGCCTTTTCCCCCAGCCCTGATTTGTATTCAGCTATGACAAGGAGATTCTTTTAACTCAGTACACACTGTCAGACTGTAACTCAGTCCGACATTGTCAGGACACCATTGTCCCCTCAGCTCAGCTGGCCCTGACCCAGTGCATGTCACCCTAGCTCTCCCCAGTGCCCGTGACAGGTGAGCTTAAATACAAATCATGGACTGGATTTTGTAGCCATCGTTATTCCCATTCTTCTCCAACGTAATATAAAGCCAGATCTATACATGAGGGGGGAAATATGCTCGTTGGTCTGCTTTTCCCCGTGGAGATAATAATTTTTAAATTTAAAAGTACCAGCTGAGTTTTAGGAGTTCAATCTCAGATGTAATTTAATTGATTTGACTTATATTTTGTGATTCTCTATGGATGAAGTCTTCAGGTAATAACTTTCATCACTGACTAAGTAGCAATTAAGAAAGACCTCTCCAAGGAGTGGAGTGACAAGTAACTAGTACAAAACTCTGTCTACAATACTGGTGGCTGCAAATAAGACAGCCCTTCTATCGAAATCATTCCAGCAGAGCACATGCAGCCCTGACCATTCATTGAGGGACTGAAATGTTATCGTATGGAAGCTTCTGTTTGCAGTATGTCCGGTAACCCGTTTCTTCCTCCCTCTTGTTCTGCAGAACTCAGTTACCATCTGCAAAAAAGTGTCCTGCCCGATAATGCCCTGCTCCAATGCCACAGTTCCTGACGGAGAATGCTGCCCACGGTGTTGGCGTAAGTTCCCAAAACTGTGTAGCCACTCTTCAGTGACTCAGTCAGCTCTGCATAAACGCTGGGCCCCCAACCCCACGTCCATCACATGTTTTCATTCAACTTTTTGCTGCAGCATCTGGCCACCTGGTGGCTTGTTTGCTGTGTAGAACCAAAAACGCCATTATGACTAAATTACAACATGGGCAATCATAATCTTGGTATAGCTTATTGATCCCAATTGTATGCTTTGAGGAATAGAGAGATGGGACTTATAGCAGCAGTAATTCCAAGTTCTTAGACTGCTTCTAAATTTGGTTAAGAAAAATCTGCTCACCAGAAAATGGATGGTCTGCAGTGCAAGCATTGGACTTAATTGTGCCAAAAGTCCTATCTGATTTATCTGTAAGAGCAGGAGGCCTAGTAGAGAAACAGCAGTGAGAGTGTTAGGGTACCAAAGAGAGAGGGCACTACATTGTTCCATGGCACCCTAGCCCTGGTTTTTGTTACTAGTATAAATTAATCACCGTGCTGAGACAATGTTGAATGCAGTAGTACAAGTCATAAAAATGATTCATCACAACAAAGATAAGAAATAAAACAGAAAGGTAGTGCTTACCCTGCACACACCCCTCCACCCACACCTGGTCACAGCTCAGGATCACCAGCCCCGCCCAGGGATCCTATTCCCAATACTGGCGCAGTGACGATCATTTGCATATCTGTTTCCATTCAGCATTCACTTCAGGTGTGGGTTAAAGGAAATGGAGCTAGCTGGGGACCAGCGGAGTTTTGAACTTGAACCAGGGGTAGCCAGGAAAACTTCCAACTGATGGCAAGAGAAAACAAGTTCTCTATCTGTGTCTGATACAGCTCGCTGTGATTGTAGCCATGGTGCCTGGGCACAGGGTAAACAAACACACGCTCCTCCTGTAAAAATGTGTGCAGAGAAGGCCCCCAGTGCTAAGGTGAGGGAGCAGCACACGGATGAACCTCATGACCGAGGTGGAGCCCAGAGCCGAAAGCGGCTGAGTTGCCTTCAAGCTCACTTGTCAGACGTATGGGCAGTGAGTCCCCTAAAATTCAGAAGTGGCTCCTCTGAGCTGCCCAAAAGTCTGGTGTTCTTGGAAGTCTGAGTACCAGCCAGGAAAGGGAAACTCATTTGAAATGCAAAGAGAGGGGAAAGGAGGCGACATGAATAGAAGAGCCCAGTGGGGGAACGCAGAGCTGTGCTGACCCAGGCCGGCATTCCAACACCCCATGCCGCACCCACAGTGGCCTGGGATAAACCCCTCGGCTATTGGCCTAAGAAACAGACTGCGTTCCACCCTCTGGCAAGGGGAGGAAGTTCTGAACGGAGCAGTCTGAAGAGCAGTCATAATGGCCACACACCAACAAGCCTGTTCCCTCTGCAGCCAGCGACTCCGCGGACGATGGCTGGTCCCCGTGGTCCGAGTGGACCTCCTGCTCGGCCACCTGCGGCAACGGGATCCAGCAGCGCGGCCGCTCCTGCGACAGCCTCAACAACCGGTGCGAGGGCTCCTCCGTCCAGACGCGGACCTGCCACATCCAGGAGTGCGATAAGCGATGTGAGCATCTGGGCCACTGGGGAAAGGGGAGAGCTGACCTGGTCTTGTCCTCACCCCAAGCAACCCCAAAGCACAGAGGCTCACTCAGGGCACAGGTTCTAGGCTCTGGGTCAGAAGCCTCGTCCCACCATGTTACCTGGTCAAGCTTGAGCACAATTCATCTTTCCCCCAACATACACACACACTTTCCTCATCTGCAAAGGGAGGGTGGCAATGGTTCTCGGTGGAGGAATTTAGTTAGATAAAGCAGTTAAAGCGGCCAGCTCAGGGGTTGGCTTGTGGTGCGCCCCCGGTAACCACCCGCTTTGTGCTTCAGTTAAGCAGGATGGCGGCTGGAGCCATTGGTCCCCGTGGTCATCGTGCTCTGTGACGTGTGGTGATGGCGTGATCACAAGGATCCGGCTCTGCAACTCGCCCAGCCCCCAGATGAACGGGAGACCGTGTGAAGGCCAAGCCCGGGAGACCAAGGCCTGCTCCAGAGACGCCTGCCCAAGTGAGTGAGCAGCTCGCCCCGCTGGTGGCCTGGCACCTGACCTTGCTGCTCAGTCGTGGAGGGGAAAGGTTACTCTCTAGAGAAACAAACAAGTTCCTCCATGCTCAGCAGTTTCTCTTAATGAAAAACAGAAAGGAAACCATTTCAAACTCGGCCTCTTCCCACACATTCTTCATGTGTCAGGGTCGCAGGGTTTCCTGAACCAACTCAGGGGAGTCTTCTGTGACAGACACAGTGTTCGCGGGGGACCTTAACATCTGCATATGGTTTGCTTTTCTGACAGTTAACGGAGGCTGGGGTCCCTGGTCACCGTGGGACATCTGCTCGGTCACCTGTGGAGGAGGGATGCAGACACGCAGCCGGCTCTGCAACAACCCTGCCCCCCAGTTTGGAGGCAAGGACTGCGTTGGCGATGTGACAGAAAACCAGATCTGCAACAAGCAGGACTGCCCCATTGGTGAGTCGTGCAGCCCCGGACAAAACCGCCCTGGGCGGGGGGATGGTCTTTTAACAGAATGCCAGGTGAACAGCATAACCTCAAGTTACCACTCACGTAGACCCTATAGGATCTTACCCCGTGTGGAATTTTTGGTGACTAGGATGGCAGTTAGCAGCAGCGTAGACCAACCATTTCCCTGTTCTCTTGTCGCAGACGGATGCCTGTCCAACCCCTGCTTTGCTGGGACCAAGTGCACCAGCTACCCTGATGGCAGCTGGAAGTGTGGCGCTTGCCCCCCGGGCTACGGCGGAGATGGCATCCACTGCCAAGACATTGACGAGGTGAGGAGCCGATGCTGCCGGAGGAAAGCAGGGAGCCTGCCCCCCTCGTTCCCTGGACAGTGTTCCCTGAACGTGAAGCAAATTGTCATTTCTCCCCCAGTGCGCCCTGGTGCCCGACGCCTGCTTCAGCCACAACGGCGAGCACAGGTGCGAGAACACGGACCCCGGCTACAACTGCCTGCCCTGCCCTCCGCGCTTCACCGGCCCGCAGCCCTTCGGCCGGGGCGTGGAGCAGGCCACCGCCAACAAGCAGGTACGTGGGCCGGACGCCAGGCCAGCGTGAAGGAGGAGGCCTTCAGGGGGAACAACCAGGAAAGGGAGAAATGTCATTGCATCACCTTCACAAAAAAACGGGAGGCGTGAACACACAATCCAGCCTTTAGAACCAGGACTAGAGAATCGGTTGTAAGTCCAGCAGCAGCAGGAGAGTCCATCAGAGTTGCAATGCTGCTCTGGAGTAACTTGTGAGGAGTGGTGCTAAGCAATTTCAGGAAAAACACATAAAGTGGTGTTACCCCATAGCCGGCACAGCCACGGGGTGGGGGTGTGGCTGGGGAGAAGGACAGAAGTGACCCAGGCCCTTCCCCCTGGAGCCCGTCTGTTCGGAGCTGACAGGGACCTGGGTTCTTCTTGTTTCTGCCGTATCTGGAGACGCCTGAAGGCTCTGCGCTAACATCAGGATGTTGTCCTCTCAGGTGTGCAAACCCCGCAACCCTTGCACGGACGGGACCCACGACTGCAACAGCAACGCCAAGTGCAACTACCTGGGCCACTACAGCGACCCCATGTACCGCTGCGAGTGCAAGCCCGGCTACGCGGGCAACGGCATCATCTGCGGGGAGGACTCCGACCTGGACGGCTGGCCCAACGAGGACCTGGTGTGCGTGGCCAACGCAACCTACCACTGCAAGAAGGTAAGCCCGCTCCCCCACACACCTCCCGGAGGGCACAGCAGCCTGACCCAGAGAATCAAGTCGGCAGGAGGATTTTAAATCTGCCTCTAGCCCAAAGGCAGAGCACTAACTCTCCATCAGAGTAAAGCACCCGGCAATGTGGCCGGGGCGGCCCTTTGGCACGTGTGTCCCACAGTCCGTTATTCTGTCCAAAGAAATGTTCACGTCCCCGACCAGACACCAGCAGACTGTGGCTTGTGTTCCCAGCATGTACAGAGCCAAAAGCATTTATACAAATTCTATATCTACCCCCCAAGAAAATGTTCCAATTTTTGCCTTCCCATACAAAAAAGTATGTTGTTACCGAGTAGCATCCAGTGCTTCCATGTGTGAGCTGAGCAAGGACGTGCGGACTGCGGCTACAATGAGCGTCTTCTCTTTCCAGGATAACTGCCCCAACCTTCCCAACTCCGGGCAGGAGGACTACGACAAGGACGGAATCGGCGATGCCTGTGACGACGACGATGACAATGATAAAATTCCAGATGACAGGGTAAGAGCGATGTCTTCCACTCCTCTGCCATCTTTCCTACCCAGTAATAGCATGAAACACTTTCAGATTCACTGAATTTTTTAAAGTTACAAGGAAAAATATACCAAACTGGTGTATAGGATAGTTTGAGGACATAAATGTTGCCACGAGAACTTTTAAATAAGGGTTATGTTTTTCATCACAACCTTCCCATTGGAGCAAGATAACCCATAAATAAACAAATGACACTTGGCTCCCCAGAGTCATCTGAAATGTTTTATCTAAATTACAGTAACATTTACTTTGGGACTACTGAGAACTGAGATGAGCTTATATTTACATCTCACTGACTTAGAGTCCCCAGGAATCCGTGTTTCCTTCATGATCTCCCGGTTTTTAACTTCTGCAGTGAACATTTTACACAGAGTGCTCCATGAGTATAGCCACTTGGAAATAACCGTTGCAGATATTTGTAGTTTTATAGGATGCAGGTGGTTTGAGCTTTGAGCTGGTTTCACAGACAATGTTGTAAAATGCTCCATTTCTTCTCTTTCCAGGACAACTGTCCGTTCCATTACAACCCAGCCCAGTATGACTACGACAGAGACGACGTGGGCGACCGCTGTGACAACTGCCCCTACAACCACAACCCTGACCAGGCCGACACGGACAAAAACGGGGAGGGAGACGCCTGCGCTGTCGACATCGACGGGGACGGTGAGGCACTCCCTGGCTCCAGCAGGCCCCCAGGCAGTGGTGACCTCACTCAGCTATTGAGTGGTTGCTCTCCAGCCCTGGCTGTTCTCCAGGTTGTGCAGTTTTGTTGAAACAGCCGAGGTGGAGACTTCACCTCATTTGTCCTATCCTCTGCAGGTATCCTCAATGAGCGAGACAACTGCCAGTATGTCTACAATGTGGACCAGAAGGACACCGACATGGATGGGGTTGGAGATCAGTGTGACAACTGCCCTCTGGAACATAATCCAGACCAGGTAGGTGGCCTCCCCTCAGAATCTCTCAGTCAAGTATTGGAATGTCCCGTTCTAGGCCTAGGAAAAGGAGAGTGCAGACACTGTCGTTCCCACGGCTCTCTGTGACCCCGTAGCCAATCACAATGTCTTTAGGTACATAGTTTGCCTGATAGGGTCTCCTGGCAGAGTCCCATCGATCATCAGCATGGCAGCCTTGTAACTGCAGTCTTGTCTTATACAAGAAGGTCTGCGGGACTTGTTCCGCATGAAATACCATGAAGATAAATTATTCAGAGTCAAAATCTGACAGCTCTAGTATGTTAATCATATTTAAGACTAAGAGATAAAAGAAATACCCTGAAGCAAAATAACCATTTTCATGGCTAATGGTGTAATCTGGCTGGAAGAAAATCATCAAACTAAAACTACTTCCCCCAAACAGGCGATAATTCATTCTTCAAAAGTGCTTGGCACTGAAATCAGGTATCACTCTCCACCCATGCTGGGGCATGCTACAGACAGACATTAGCCAGGACAGTTTCCATGCTGAAAGTTTTCTTTTCTTGTGCAGTTGCCCATAGTTATTGTCTTAAGTACAAAAGTTAAGGGTTTTTTTTTCTTCTAAAATGCATTGTTCTGGAAAGTTAGAAACCAGCTTTTTAAAATCGAAACATTTTTATAAGATTCAAGATATAAGAAATACAGCTTTTCTCCTAGTATTTGCTCTTATGAGGTCCTTTAAAACAAAGGCAACAAGATAAAGAGCTTTGGGGCCATAATGGGAAAAGGGTGCATGGCTTTTCTGACCAAGTGGTAATGAGAGTCATATTTTGAGATTGGGTCTAACCATAAATTAAATGTTTTCAATATCATTTAACCTCCCTGGATGAGTTTTTGGTTCCTCAGACTGTGATCAAATTGATAACAAAATTCAGGCATCATATAAAAACCTTACTAAGAGCAAGAAAAATTCCAATTTGTGTATAAATGATCCTTAAGCATCCCATGCACACTGGATAATGTAAAAGGACTCTGAGAAATATAGTTTTGAAAAGTCTTAGTTTTGACTTTATCTCAGCCAACAGATGATAGTCTTTATAGACTAGATCTATAAAACCAAATAACTAAAAATAAAAGAAACTAAATGATCCTACCATATGAGTTACCTAGTATGCATTAAAAAAAAGTGCCATGTTTCCATGACTTGATGGCCAAGAGTAGAAGTTGACATGTCAACAAATTTACAATTGAAATCCTCCAATGGAAAAATAATAAAATGTACCTAAAGATTTCATTTAACATTAAGATAGAAGAAGTTAACATTGCATTTCATCCTTAGTGAATAATGCCTTCTATTTAATTTTATTTAGAATGTTTTATATTTTTTTAAACTCTTAAAAATCCCTTTTCAAATTTTCATATGAAAACAAGGATTAAGGGGAAAAACTTAAAATGTGTTACTATTACTGTCTTTTGGGATAGCATATAGACTTGAAACTCTACCGGCCACATCAAACATTATTGAATTTTCCATAAGTTATCATTAACATTAATAACTTATACCTCAACTTACCCTCTGTTTCTCTCTCTAGCTTGACTCTGACTCGGACCTCATTGGAGACACCTGTGACAACAATCAGGATATTGACGAAGATGGCCACCAGAACAACCTGGACAACTGTCCCTATGTGGCCAACGCCAACCAGGCCGACCACGACAAAGATGGCAAGGGAGACGCCTGCGACCATGATGACGACAATGACGGCATTCCCGACGACAGGGACAACTGCAGGCTCGTGCCCAATCCTGATCAGAAGGACTCCGACGGTGAGTCAGGGAGCCACCTTTTAAGAGAGGAACTGAGACCAGGGCCCCCTAGGTTGAGGACATAAACACAAAGCTGAATGCACATGGGAGGATGAAGAGACTAACTTCCACTTTGTCAAAATGGGAGTTCCTGACACCAGTAATGACAGTGTTTCAGAATCTCACTGAACTCTTGCCTTTCTCACTCAGGTGATGGTCGAGGTGATGCTTGCAAAGATGACTTTGACCAAGACAGTGTGCCAGACATCGATGACATCTGTCCTGAAAACATTGATATCAGTGAGACCGATTTCCGCCGATTCCAGATGATTCCTCTGGACCCCAAAGGGACATCCCAAAACGACCCTAACTGGGTGGTACGCCATCAGGGCAAAGAGCTTGTCCAGACTGTCAACTGTGATCCTGGACTTGCTGTGGGTGAGTAGTGAGTTCTTTGCACCACAGGCTAGCATATGTGGGAAAGCAGCAAATGTAAAACCTGGCAGTACCCTGTGGGTACTAGGATGTCTGGGAATGGGATGGAAAACCTTCTGACAGCTGCCATTTTTAACCTGGGTCTGGCCTCACTCACCTTCCAGGTTATGATGAGTTTAATGCTGTGGACTTCAGCGGCACCTTCTTCATCAACACCGAAAGGGACGATGACTATGCCGGGTTTGTGTTTGGCTACCAGTCCAGCAGCCGCTTCTATGTTGTGATGTGGAAGCAGATCACCCAGTCCTACTGGGACGTCAACCCCACCAGGGCTCAGGGGTACTCGGGCCTCTCGGTGAAAGTCGTGAACTCCACCACCGGGCCTGGCGAGCACCTGCGGAACGCGCTGTGGCACACTGGCAACACCCCTGGCCAGGTAGGAGCAACCCTGCGGGAGGGAGGGAGGGAGCGGGGGCTTGACCAGCACGAGGGATGCTGTGCTTTGACCGGGACTCAGGGAGTCTTAGAAATCACGTCCCCACTATCCACTGCAACACTGAGCTCTGCTCCATAAGCCATAACTGCCTGAGAGGGGAGCTCGCCATGACAATAGTTACCCTTCAGGTCCAAAGGCAGTTTAGTCTCTTCAAACAAAGAGGCTCTGCTCTTTCTCTTCTCTCTTTCTACTTCACATGTGCATTCAAGGGCACAATTCAAATGGAAGAGGCCTTAGAGAAATCCTGCATTTCAGCCCTCTAGCATAGGTCAGCTGGGCACTTTTCATTCCCACAGAATGAAATATAAACCTTCTCTTCACGTTCTCAACCTTTCCTTCTGCAGGTGCGCACCCTGTGGCATGACCCTCGTCACATTGGCTGGAAAGATTTCACCGCCTACAGGTGGCGTCTCAGCCACAGGCCAAAGACTGGCTTCATTCGGTAAGATGGCACTCATTGCATTTCACTTACAGTCCCAACAATGGGCAAGAAGGAAGAGACACACACAGGGGTGTCGCTAACGACATTTCCTTTCTCCCTGCAGAGTGGTGATGTATGAAGGGAAGAAAATCATGGCCGACTCGGGACCCATCTACGACAAAACCTATGCTGGTGGTAGGCTAGGGCTGTTTGTCTTCTCTCAAGAAATGGTGTTCTTCTCCGACCTGAAATACGAATGCAGAGGTAGGAGCAACATTATAGTGAACGGACAGTGGGCATCTCTGATTCAGACTGGCACCGACAATGCCAAATATGGGGGAGTTTAAGTTAAAGACTGTTTTACAGGCAGGGTCATCTGTAGTTTGCTGTTGAAGACCACGATATAAATGAAATAAGGCTTATGAACTGTGGCTTATGAAATCCTGAGTCTTGTTAACAATATCAATTTGCTTAGCAGTCTCTGTGCTCTACACATGCAGTGTGAGGGCAAACCGCATAGGCCACGGTGATAATACTGAACACCTGACATGTTCCCCGTAGTTTTGTCTGTGCTGTGGCAGCACAAGTTTCTTTCACATGCTTCCCCTGTCGTACAAGGAAGGGAGAGTGTTGCCTTCACGTTGGCATGTTCACTTCCACTGTGAACCTACGCTGTTTTTCTCTGTCCTCATTCGCTCTGTAGCCACCGAACCTCATGGAGGCCGGCACTGGGGCTGTCAAAAGAATAAGCGGTTCATAAATGTTTACAGGGACAAGGCCTGATGCCAACAAGACCCATTAGAGTAAAAAGATGGTTCATTTACTCAAAAAATATTTAAATTATGATATAAACTTTGAGTCTGAATGTTTAACATAAAATGCCCTCAACTCTAAACACTGAAGGTCTTAGAGAGCATAGCCCAAAGCCTACGTTCTGCAAGGTCGAGCTGCACCAATCTCCTAGCACAGTGGTCGGCAAACTCATTAGCCAACAGAGCCAAATATCAATAGTACAACGATTGAAATTTCTTTTGAGAGTCGAATTTTTTAAACTTAAACTTCTTCTAACGCCACTTCTTCAAAATAGACTCGCCCAGGCCTTGGCATTTAGTGGAAGAGCCACACTCAAGGGGCCAAAGAGCTGCATGTGGCTTACCAGCCAGGGTCCTAGCAACAGGGTTCAAACACGTTAACACATAATTTTAAAATTTTTAAAAAAATATATTTTATTGATTTTGTACAGATAGGAAGGGAGAGAGATAGAGAGTTAGAAACATCGATGAGAGAGAGTCATCAGCTGCCTCTTGCACACCCTCTACTGGGGATATGCCCGCAATCAAGGTACATGCCCTTGACTAGAATCGAACCCGGGACCCTTCAGTCCCCAAGCCAACGCTCTATCCATTGAGCCAAACCGGTTTCGGCAACACATAATTTTATAAGCTGGCCATCTTATATTATGCTTTTGTCATTATAAAAGTAGAGTTATACCTAGGTTGTTAATTCCTTAACTGATATTAAGGTAACAATGCTTTTGTGAATTAGTTTTTATTTATATATCTGTGTTTGTTTACTTTAACAGATTCCTAATCTTCCAACTGTTGGTCAAAAGACTGATCATAGCCAATGCTGGTATTGCACCTTCTGGAACTATGGGCTTAAGGAAACCCCCAGGATCACGCCTCCCTGCTGCCTCTTTCTCTGCTTGCATCAGTGTGGACTGCTAAAACATGTGACTTGACTCAAGAAAAATGCAGTTTTCCCAATCAAACCCAGCATTCAGCCTCTGAACGAGAAGAGAATCTTGCAAGAATATAAACAGTGACTTTGGTCTGCTTTTTGGAAAAAAGCAGAAGCATCCACCTGCCTCAGTGGGAAGGTGCCAGCTCCACCCAGCTTTGGTCAGAGCAGGCTGCTATTGTGAGGCCTTCTCTGAGCAACGAACTCAGTAGCCCTTTCGGGCACGTCAGAGAAGGGAGGATTCACGGGCATTGGCCAATAACCACTCCTCATCTACTCCCTCGGGAATAGGGGGAGCAGGGCCAAAGCTTGGGGGTGGGGGGAGGCACAAACCCAAGAGATGATTGTATGGGGAACATATGGAAGAACTGTTACACGTTTGGTACTAAACCATTTTCAGGGGATTGAAAGACTATTGCTGGATTCCATGATGCTGACTACCGGTGTTAGCTGATTGGCACTTACACAGAAGCAGGGGAGGGAGGGGAGGACTGACTTCTGTCCTCTCGGATCCCCACCCCTTACACGTCACATGTAGTGACCAGAATAGGGAGGCAGGATGAAACCAGAGTGTAAGGCAGTGCTGGCTGCCACTGCCTAGTTACACTGGAATTGTCGGTTTTGTTCCAGATATAGCTTGTGCAGATGTAGCAGGAAAATAAAACCTACCATCTCAGAGAGCACCAGGCTGCCTTCCAAGGGAGGGGCAGCCATGCTTGTATTTTTATGGTTAGAAAGGCACAAAATTATCAACTAAGACATTCCTTTCCTCTTTTTTTCTGAATATGATGGAGTTTTCTAAATCTTTTAAACTGTAGTTTTTGGGATTTTTTACACTCTACAATGTAAAATATTTATTTTTCACCTACTCTGGAGAATTTGTCTGAAAGACTTCATGGAACAGGAAGAAGCATAAGGACTATCCATTTCACCTTTGTTGAGTCTTCATGACTGTAAGATTGTAAATACAGATTATTTATTAACTCTGTTCTACCTGGAACCTAGGTTTTGTATGGAAAGTGAGAGTAGGTATGAGCTTTATCAGCCAATCTCTGGCAAGGAAGGGCACAAGGAAAATCAGCGTAGCGAGCTGCTCTTTGCTTTGTGCTTAAATGAGTCGGGATTTCTTGTCTTTTCCAGTGGGATTAGCTGGCTGTCCATTTGCAAGTGCGTTTAGATGGCAAAGAAAGCCATGAGGCCTTTGATACTATTTTACCCCATCCCTTGTGCCTATTTCCAGGGAGAAGAAAAGCATCTACGCTTATTATTTTTCATTTTTCCAAAAGAAAAAAATGACAAAGGTGAAACTTACATACAAATATTACCTCATTTGTTGTGTGACTGAGTAAAGAACTTTTGGCTCAAGCAGAAAGAGTTTAAGTGTCTAACAAACTTAATGCTACTGTAGTACCTAAAAAAGTCAATGTTGTACATAGTATAAAAATTCTTTGCAGAAAAGTATTCCCAGTAAGGAAATAGCATTGAAATGTTAAATACATTTTCTGAAAGTTATGTTTTTTTTTCTATCATCTTGTATACTATTGCTTTATTTTTATAAATTATTTTCTCAATGCCATTGGAATAGATATCTCAGATTGTGTAGATACGCTATTTAAATAATTTATCAGGAAATACTGCCTGTAGAGTTAGTATTTCTATTTTTATAAAATGTTTGCACACTGAATTGAAGAATTGTTGGGTTTTGTTTTGTTTTTGATTTGTTTTGCTTGCCCCACCCTGTTTTTACTATTTGCCAATACCTTTTTCTAGGAATGTGCTTTTTTTGTACATTTTATCCGTTTTACATTTTAAAGCAGTGTAAGTTGTATATTACTGTTTCTTATGTACAAGGAACAACAATAAAACATATGGAAATTTATATTTATACTTCTGTATCCACACTTATTTGTTCTCTATTGGCTTTATGTTATGAAATATGGATAAATTCCATTCTTTAATCAGTATGACATACATAGTCCCCAAAAAGAATATTAATAAAATGTCTTTTATTAATGCCATTTATTGAATCCTTTCCAAAATCTAATTCTGTTGCTAAAAAAAGAAAAAAAATGAAAACAAAAGGGGAAAACCAGGATTGAAGCATATAAATTCCTGCACCTACATTTTCTAACCCACCAATGATGGCACTTGGTAGCAACACAATGGCATGTTGTGGAGATGCTTTAGAAATGTTATGAGGAAAAAATTATCCTTGAAAGCTTCACCAAACTCTACATATATCACCTTTAAAAAACGAATGCCTTGCACCAAAAACAGATGACTAAAGACAAAAGTAGAATCCTAAAAATATATACACATAAAAAACATCAAATTATTTTATGAAAAGGACAAAGTTTCAGGTAGGCTAACCATGAATGTAGACTACTGACCAATTAATGGCAAGTTCTAGTAAAAGTAGCTAGAATAAGAAATTTTATGAATAGTTTAAAAGTCTGGCTTTGAGATCCATCACATACTAGAAGGGATTGAGCAAGATAGAATCTTCTTGTTGATTTTTCTCAAAACACTTATCGAGGATAGCATAATCATATAAGTATAAATTGCCAAATCATTTTATGGCACTCAGGTGCAGAATCAAGAACGAGAAGGTGGTAATGATTATAAAGTTTGGAAAACTGATATCTATCCTTCTGAAATTATTCCAAAAAATTGAAGAGGAGGAAAGATTCCAAAACTTATTTTTCAAAGCAAGCCAGTATTACCCTACTTTTAAAACTAGATATTAGCAAAAAATAAAAGAATATTGTAGGATAATACCTCTGATGAACATAGATGCAAAAATCTTCAACAAAATATTAGCAAAATGAATTGAACAAAACATTTACAAGATCATACACCATGACTAAGTGGAATTTATTGCAGTGACGCAAGTCTGGTTCAATATCTGCAAACCAATTACTGTTATACAGCACATAAATAAAAATCATGATCATATCAACATATGCTGGAAAAAAGCATTTGATAAAATTCAACATCCATGTATTATAAAAACTCTCAGCAAAATGGGGATAAAGGAAACATACATCAACAAAATACAGAACATATATGACAAACCCACAACTAACAATACTCAGTGGGGAAAAAGTGAGAGATTTTTCTTCACTATCTAGAATAAGACAAGACTATCCACTTTCACTATTTTTATTCAACACTAGAGGCCCAGTGTATGAAAATTCATGCAGTGGAAAAGGGGATAGTCCCTCAACCCAGCCTGGCCCCTCTCACAGCCCAGGAGCCCTCAGGGGCAGGAGGCAAACCAGCAATCAAGGAAAGGTGATGACCCATCACACCTCTACTGCTGCCACTACGGGCAATGCAAGCCTCAGCTGGCCCTGGTTAACTGAGCCGCCATCCAAGGTTTGCCTCGGGCTGACCCTGGGTAGCTGGGCAACTGACATTCGAGGCTTACCTGTGCCTCGGGCTAGCCCTGGACACTGGAGGGCTAGAGGGATTGGGTGCCACCATCTTTGAGGGCAGGCAGTCAGTTAGCATATTCCCTCCTTTTTTGCTATGGGCGCCGCCATCTTTGTGAGGTGTGAGGGTCAATTAGCATATTCCTCTTTAGTAGATAGGATAGTATTGGAAGTCCTAGTCAGAGCAATCAAACAAGAAAGAAAAAAACATTCAAACTGTAAAGAATAAATAAAACTGTCATTATTTGCAGATGACATAATAATAAGAGAGAGAGAGCTCTAAAGAATTCATTTAAAAAACTACTAGAAATAATAAATGAATTCAGTAAAGTAGCAGGATACAAATAAATATTCAGAAATTAGTTGCATTTTATACAGCAATAACAAACTATAAGAACGATAAATTATTAAAACAATCCCTGTTCTGGCTAGCATGGCTCTATGGTTAGAGCTACAGTCTGCACACTGAAGGGTCTCAGATTAAATTTCTGGTCAAGGGCATGTACCTGGATTGCAGGTTCAATACCCCAACCCAGTAGGGAAGCATGGGGGAGGCAACCAATTTATGACTCTCTCACATCAATGTCTCTCTTTCTCTCCTCCTTCTCTCCCTCCCTTTCTCTCTCAAAAGCAATGAGCCCAGTTGCCATGGCTCAGTGGTTGAAGGTTAACCTATAATCCAGGAGGTCACAGTTCAATTCCTGGTCAAGGCACATGTCTGGGTTGCAGGCTCTATCCCCAGTGTGGGCGTGCATGAGGCAGCCAATGATCCTCTCTCATTATTGATGTTTCTGTTTCTCTCTCCCTCTCCCTTCCTCTCTGAAACCAATAAAAATATATGTTTTTTAAAGGTTATTAAAAAATAAAAATGAAAAAATATCCTCAAATGAGGACTAACAAACAAAAAAACTAATTTAAAAAAAGGAAAGAAAACAATCCCTTTTGAAGTTGCATAAAAAGAATAAGCCCTTGCCAGTTTGGATAGAGGGTCGGCCTCTAGACCAAAGGGTCCTAGGTTCAGTTACAGTCAAGGGCACATACCTCCGTTGCAGGCTCCTCCCTGGCTGAGGCTCCGGTCAGGGCTCTTGCAGGAAGCAACCAATCAATGTGTTTTTCTCACATCAATATGCCTCTCTGTCTTTCCACTCTCTCTAAAAATCAATGGAAAAAATATCATCAGGTGAGGATTAAAAAAATAAAAGGAATAAATTTAACCAAGGAGGAAAAACACATGTACTTGGAAAACTATAAAACTCTGAAGAAAGCAACTGAAGGAGATATCAATAAATAGAAGGTTATACCGTACTCATGAATAGAAATAATTAACATCATTAAAATATTCATACTACCCAAAGCAATCTGCAGGTTCAATACAATCCCTGTCAAAATACCAATGACATTTTCAGAACCAGAAAA